CTTTCTTCTGTTCGATTTTTTCTCAGATTCTTACCATCGTTTTCAAGGTGTTTGGATCAAATCTGCATTGTATTTATTTGTAACGACTGTTACAGTAGCAGTGACAACCGAATGGCTCTATTTGAACAATGCAGACCACATCTATGAAATTATTTCTCTTATTGCCGAAGTTATTTCCGCTTTCCTTTGTGATACTATTATTATTCTACAATTCTTTCCATTTCATTTTAAAACTCAACATGTTCAACATATCGCTCGAGAAGCTTTACTTCTAATTAGAAATCAACAGAATACCGTACAAGATAATGTTGAATCTGGCACGCAAATAGCGATGATCACTTGAGAAAATTTTATGAATATTAGTGTGGATTCTTCGAAGAATGATAAAAAAATCCTGATGCAAACATGAACAATTTATACATATGACACTTTAAGCTATTAGTTTTAAGAGATTTTAGCGTAGCTTCCTGAAAGAGATACTATTTAAAATAGTATATAGATACTAAATGATTTAAGTGACTGTTTCCTTTGTGACGACATTAGATTTATTGATCGTCATTATTGTAGGCAGCTATTTAAACATTGCCATATAAAAAAAATTATCATAACTATTTAAAATATTTAATAACTATGCAAAAAAAAAGGTTTTAAATGATTTAAATAGCTGATTCGCTTGTGTGATGATTTCTGTTCGCTTCTTTTTTTTAATCTCTCTTAATTATTTAATGTACCATGTTGTCGATCTTGTTTTTTTCATAGTATGCATATAAAACTTTTTGTAATGGCTGACTTTTTCTTTTACTAACGGTGAACATCTTTTATATTTGTCTAATCTGTTTTTGATAAATTTTACTATTTTATGCTTGCATGTCTCTTATCGATTTATTATTTTTTTATACGCTGACTAACAGAAATATATATTTTCTACAAGAAAGGAATTAATCACTTGAAACTTATAATCATTGTTATTCAAGAATAAAATAACAGCAAATATACTGCATACAACATTTATTTATTTATTTTTCTATTCTTTAAATATTCTTATTACATATTATTCAATTTTTACTAACCAATTCCAACAATCAATATTTAATTTCAGCAGTTTTCAATTCAACTAAAAAATATTTCATATGATATTCTCGTTTCTTACTCATCCACATATATTTCAATCTTTCCATTTATTACTTGAGATTAAAGAGCAATCTACTTGGAGAGATTGGCAAGAAATAAGTTGCTGAATGTTTATTAAAAATAAGTATATTGTTACAAAACTCTCTTACGTATTTTTGTTCATTTTTTTAATCAACTTTCTCTATACAAAAATAATATCTCTTTTGAGAACGAGCCAAATGTATATCACAACATTCAAAGAAAATACCTATTGTCTGTGCACTATATACTGAGTCTATGGCATATATTTCTTGAAAAATAAAAAGTTATACAAAGCATGAGTAATTCACGAGATTTTGCCTTGAGATCTTTTTTCTTTTGGACAATTAATAGTAATTCAGAAAATCATCTAGAAATGGATGCTCTACACCAAAGTTTTTTTGTTTTCATTGCTGTATCCATCACGCAGCATCTACATCGAAAGTCTAGTATTCATTCTTGCATTCTTCCATTTTATACGCATCCGATGGTTCAAATTTATCTTGTGAAAATAGTTTGGTTGAAAAGTCTTTGTTTCGATCTTGTAACACATTTAGTTTTGCAAAAACATATTAAAATCGTCACTATTCTATAGATAAAAAGAACGAAAACATGAAAAATACTTAAAAGTGCATTTTCTCATGGTACAAGGCTCTAGCAAAATTTGATAAGAAGGAAAAGAACAATGGCAAAAAGAGATATGTGAATGTCAGTACCAGAGATGAGCGAGCCGCGGTTTCACACCGCCCCGTCCCGCCCCGTCGGCGGGACGGTGCAGAAACTTGACGGGGCGGGGCGGGGCGGTGACGGTGCGTCGCAAGATCTTGCGGTTTCCCCGCCCCTTGACAATATTGAGTTTTTTTTAACATTTTTCTTAAATGTTTATTTTTTTTCTATTTCGAAATTTTATCTTTATATACAGGGTGGTCTATAAATAATAACATAACGACAAGAAATTTAAATATTTCTACTTCTGGTCATTCAAAAGGATTCAATTTTTTTCATTCGGATAATGTAAATAAATCCAACTGTTAAATGTTTCAATTAACGTCAATAAAGCAACTTTACTAGTTGTCAAGTAAAAAATTATATATGAAATATTGTGTAGACGACTTTTAGTTGTCGTTTGACAGAATGACTTGAAAAAATTCAAATAAATCTGCTGAATGATACTATATGGATGACATTGAGAGAAATTTCTCAACCAGTCAATTTGAAAGTTAGCAATTACAATGTTTCGAAGTCTCAGACGTGGAACACTGATTTTTGTTGAAAACTTGCCGACTGGGTAACTAAAGGCTTTCAGATACGCGTTTTAGTTATCAAGCACTAGTTCCGGTATTCAAAGTAGCTAGTCCAGAAAGTTTTTTATATGTACATCAATGTAGTATCATTTAGAAGATTTGTTTGAATTTTTTCAAGTCATTCTGTCAAATGATAACTAAAAATCATCTACACAATATTTCATATGTGGTTTTTTACTTGATAACTAGTGAAGCTGCTTTGTTGACGTCAACTGAAATACTTAACAGTTTGATTTACTTACATTATTCAAATGGAAAAAAATTGAGGAGAGTTCTATTACCAACCAAAAAATGAGCCCAGTTGCATGAACAGAAGTAGAGCCATTTAAATTTCTTATTGTCATGTCATTATATGTAAGTCATCCTGTATTTAAATTATACCTTCTCATCTCAGGAAATATAATAGTAATTATGAAAAGTTACTAAAAATTTCATGAATAAATGACTTCTGACGACAGACTTTAGATGGGGCGGGGCGGTGACAGTTTTATTGTTGAATAGGCGGGACGGTGACGGTGCGAAACTTTATCAACGGGGCGGGACGGGGCGGTGGCAGTGTGACTTTTTGGCTGGCTCGCTCATCTCTGGTCAGTACCATGTAGATATCATAGCACTATAAAGAAATCAAAAGGATCAGCCGAAAATTATGTACTAATAGAGTCTACATCTATTGAATAATAATGATGTTTAAGAGAGTCGAGATACTCACTGAATAATTCTCTATCATATTTTGCTAGAAGATCATTGAGTAGCCATGACAGTATCGTGAAGTGATGTTTTCGAGAAAATGTAAACCTTTATGAATACGAAATATGTGACATTATCAACGTTCAGTGTAAGTCTGAGATACAGAATATATTGTTTACAATGAAGAAACAAAGGTCCAACATTGTTTTAATAGCATAATTGATTTTTTTTAAATACTAGGTCTTGCACAACAGCTAAAATATTTATTTTTCTCATTTTCTATGACAAAAGATTCGTAGAGGAAAACGAGTAGGAACAGAATTCGCAAAAAAGGTAATACACTCTATTGACTAAGAACGCGTTCGGAAAAATATGATAATAGTGGATGAATTTCACATTAATAAGATGTAAGTGTAAAATAGTGAGTGTCGGTGAAGAGGAAGACTGACAATCAGAGGTGTATACTACACCCATCTTCAACTTTTTTGTATCATGTCATGAAAATGAATCATTGTCATTGTAGCGTAAACGAAAGACTACTAGCAATTTAAATATCTTCCTCAATGAATAAGAGATTTTCTCCTCCTCGTATAGCCTCAAAAAGTATCAATAAACTACTAGAAGACTGGTTAATGAAACAATGGACAACTTGTCTCTTTGGTCAATCTCTCATTTGATTGTACGAAATAAAACTATCACTATCTCTTCTTATTCTCTTGTAGGTCTAAAACAACAAAAAGAAATGATATTCATCATACCATTCGAAGCGACTGACACTTACTTTTACTATTCTGCTCCAGAATTAGTTAGATATAATAACTAATAATCAGTTTTTTCAACAGAAGAAGTGGACTATCATGTGTTCTTCTTATCGAGCAAGAAGAAAATCAACCCAAACACAATGATCGATGCATAACCCGAAGTAAAAGACTTTTTCCCTCTTGTACTTCACTCAACAAGTAACGTACTAATATAATCCCTTTCCTGCACAAAATACTGAAGGATTCTCCTATTCGTTGCATCATGCATTGACGAAAAGAATCTGTAAACATGTCTTATTGCTCTCTTTTTTGCTCAATAATAATGACAGAAATAGAATCCCACATCTTGCACACAATACCAAGACAATCACCTGGTCTTCTTGCAGTACAGGTAGAAAAAAAATAGATAAATGAAATAATAGTTGGCATATTCTCCGAAGCAAAGAGCATCTTGCTTTAGTCGTCTCCTGCTGCCCTGATAAGAACAACACAAATATAAAGCCTCTCTGGTTCGAATAACAAAACAGCCATCTATTCTTTACTTTGTCTCGGTACAGAATCAATTTATATGCCAGCAGTCCCGCTCGAACCCGAAATAAACGATAATGTTTTTCGCTATTCTCCCATTGCTCGATGAGCACATCATCACAACATTGTCGACTTTTGGACAAAATACAGAAGCATTTGTCTATTTCGTTACACTGTATAGGAGCAAGATAAACGCTATAAACAAGTAATCGGCGTGTGATTATGAATATCGGTGTTCATCTTCATTTTACCTACACCTACATTCACACTCACACCCAGAAAATTCTCTACATTTAAGGGAAATTTATTGTTCCACTGAGAAATTTCTTGTTCCATCCAAGAATTTTGAGCGAAAAAGACTACTCATTAACAGCTACTTACGTTCTAATATTATTCAATTAGCATTAACTGTCTATTTTATTTTAAAATCAATAAGTGTCACAAATTATGTCGTGGAAACAGCCTAATCATATATAGGAGAAAGTGAGCAACATCCAATCACAATTCTTTGCATTACAAATCTCTGAAAACTAAATTAACGACTGGAAAATGTGTCATGTAATGATGCATCTTATTCTTTTTGTACCGGTTCTTTTCCTCCTAATCGTCCAATAAATCTAAGAACCTCATCTTCAATCTCTTGGTCCATTCGAGCATAATCTGTTCTTTCAAAATACGATTCATCGTTTGGTTCGACTCGTCGTCGATCGTTCCATTGTTCACAGCCATCAAATGGAAAATCATAACCGTGACGATATTTGGGCCAACTTCGATAATGATTAATACCTTCCACTGCTGAGCCCCTCATCATCATCACTGGTTGACTTGCATCTAGACATTCGGTTGTTGGTGCCATATATCTACAGTAAAGATGCAATGACCTTTCAGAAAGTAATCTATTTCTTTCATTACCTGATTGTTAATCCACATCGCCGTCGGTCACTTGTATTGGCTTCAGAACCGTGAATCATGTTTGGATGATGGATACTAACATCTATGAGTCATCAAAAGACAAAAATGACGATCATCTAGCTGTTCAAGCGTTAGTTGTTGGGTTTTCCCCGACATAGTGATTAGTATCATTCTTCGACTTTTTCTATAGTAGGTAGCGTTTATGGAAAGAATACTCATCTTTGACTAGACTATGCTGTTTTATATTCTATACGGAACATGATGAATATCATCACGATTAAAGAATGTAACATGTCCACACTGTTTTCATCAATTTGTGTGGATTCTTTCACGATGATATAGAACTTTTTAATATTCATACTCGATAGGAAACTAGTTTCAGCTATTGCTATTGAAACTACCGTTAATGAACACTGATGCTAACCAGATGAATTGCTTTGGAGTTACCACTTTTTTATGAACTTAAGTCTGCAGTGTTTAGAACACGCACTATAGCTTAGAAGTGTGCTTCAATGAGACTAGTTCAACTCCAATCACTAGAATTGAGCAAGAGTTAATATGTAGGACAACTTTCCGCACGTAATTCTAAAATTCAAGAAGAGAGTGGTCAAATGACTCGACCAACCTATAACTGTAAAATGGTTAGTTTTTAAGCCCATCGTTGAAACTTGATGCAGTTTGTGGTATAGACAGTCATATTGAAGAACTAAATAATTGTCACTGTCAACTAAAGCAGGTAGATTCCATCATAATTTCAGTCAGTCATTTTCGTTTCATGGATTCCTGACAATACTGTTGCTGCCAAACTATGAATGGAACTCCACCATATATTTTCGATGACTTTCTCACCGATTCTGCCTGCTATGTGGCGAAACACCACGTAACCAGCCAGCGAATCTGCTATTAAGATTCAATTACAAGGGATACATTGATCACAAAAGGTTTCAATCATTTCTGAGTAGTCTAATATGGTCTGGGCCAAGGGTTTCCCATAAAGTGAGATGATGGAGCAATAGACGAAGGCTTGTCCTCCATGCATCATCAGGAAAAAATGAAAAACTATGCGAATTTCTGCGAAGAATTTTTCATACTGTCTGCTAAATTTCTGAGAACCTAGCGGCAAATTCTAACAGAAATCAGGCTTTCAAATACTACTGACCCTATTTCAGTCTTGATGAAAGTTACAAAACAAGGAAAGTGCTGAAAAGAAAATATCGAAAAGACAAATGTTGAAAGTCGAAAATCCATTTCTCACGCTAGAACAAACATGCGATTTATATATTATAACTCTGAATAGAGAAATGCAAGACAATAGAGTCTTAATCGATTGATCTTTCATTGTTTCTTTTCTCTGATTCGCAGCGATAAGCCTTATCAGAGTTCATTTGTCGAGAGTTCTTGAGAAATCTCTCGTGGAGTATATCCAATCAAATTTGACAATACCTTGTATTCATCAATTGTATTGAAGGTAATTATGTAGCACTGAGTTGGATACAGCTATGTAGGAATTGAATATGTGAAACGTACCATACAGCGAAGATTGTATGCTGATATAGACTAATAAGCCAACTGAGTCTAATGAATTAATGCTACTCTTTTGTATTAATTGGTTCTTTTAGTTTTGAAGATGATTGCATGATTCAACGATAGTTTGTTCAATAACACAAATGTAACGCAAAAGCATTGTAGTAGAGACATTTTTCGACGTTTTTCTCTTCATCATTTGAGTGGCCTCAACATTTTTCTCTTTCGACATTTTTCATCCAACCTTCCTTTTCTGGCAGAAGTCCACTAAAATCATTTTCTATCAACAAAAATATCCTAGAAAGTCTATGACTGTGATGCATTCTTTTTACTTTTATCCCAGAAAGCCGTATGAAGATACCTTTTCTACTCGTACAAAAATATTCAGAATGCTGCCTGAATCAGTGAGAAGAGTCATCGTAAATAATAATTTTCCTGTACTTCAAGTAATTGAGATCGGATTGACTTCACTGACACACATTTCTAATCTATCGCGTATGTACTAAAAGCTTCAAACTGATGATCATAAAACTAGCTGAGATTCCAGACACATAAACCTGCCCTATTTAATTCTTCACTGGAAACAATATCAATATCAATAATTAAAAGCACTATCTATCGAAAGTTTTGTATTAAATAAGAATATTGAAGAGTCTTCTATTACTATAATTCATAAAAACACAAGAGGGACATTCAATTCTTTATCTTCAAGGTATTTGTGAGTCACCCTCTAGTAGTTGTATGTGATGATTCGTTATTAATCATATTAATCTGAGAGTCTTTTGTTTCAATTATGATCTATACAAATACTTTCATAATTCGGTCCATTAGAATAAACTTTCTGAAGTAACACCAAATGTACTCTAATACTTGATGTGATCAGTTGAGGAACTCTAATGTCACAACACATTGACATTTTTCTTTATGACATACAATATAACGGCTGAACTTTTGAAGTGATTTGAAGAGATATCCTCGCCATTTCATCCGACATTAGACTGCTCTAATATTTAGTCCAGATTTATCATCATAGGTATTTGTTGACGTTTCCTTCATGTCATAATCTGAGAATCTAATTAGAGTTCAAAGAATCTCAAAAATCGAAGTTTTTTAAGTGACTTCAGACAACAAATTAGTATTTTTGTGAAAATATAAGCAAGACTATCGTTGATGTGTGTATTCTTGCCTGAATGATTCGACTAAGCATGCATAAGGATCGTGTTGCCTTTCATTTATATCTGAAATGGGTACTGTAACCTATTACATTTGCTCTTTTTTAGATTTTTTTGATGGATACTAGAGTGCATATTCGCTTCAGAATAATATCCAATTATTAAAATACTGATACTAATCTTTAATGAAATATCGTACTCAAGAGTC